TTAATCTCAGGTCCCTCTAGCACCAAGTCCAACCTGTGAACTTCCCTACTATAAACCACTGTATTCCCACCCCACTCAAGGTGTTGGGTAAAAGCTAAACCAGAAAATAAAAATTGTGAGATGGCCCAAGGATATTGCAGTATGATGAGTCCTGCAGAGTGGCTAAATATCCTCCATTTAAACTCTAGGTGACTCCACCCCTCCACCAATTGCCCCAAAACAGTAACGTGGATTTCAACCTTGACTTCTCCCCCTCCATCATCCTCTTTCCCTACATGCTGTCAACTGTCATATCCACCAATTGGAGTTCTTTAGAGTTTCCCAAATCTTTACATGTCTATCCATGCTTGCCACCATGATGTCCCTCCTGGTCTATGGCAAAAGCCAACTAATTTTTCTCCCTAGCCCTGATAGTGCAGTGATTAAACAGTTGGCTGCTAACCAAAAGGCTGGCAGTTCGAATCCACCAGCTGCTCCTTGGAAACTCTATGGGGCAGTTCTTCTCTGTTCTCTAGGGTCACTTTGAGTTGGAATTGACTCGACGGCAACAGGTTTTTTATTATATCTCATTTTGGAGCCCTGGTGGTGTAGTGGTTAAGAGCTATGGCTGCTAACCAAAAGGTCGGCAGTTCAAATCCACCATTGGCTCCTTGGAAACCACGTGGGGCAGTTCTACTCTGTCCTATAGGGGCGCTATGAGTCAGAATCAACTCGATGGCAATAGGTTTGGTTTTTTGGTTTGGTTTTATACCTCATTTTACTCCTCATTCCAACCATTTCCTATGAGTAGCCAGAATGATTGATCTTTCTAAAATGCACATACGTCTTTGCTTACAACCCTCTAATGAGGCACCCTTGCCTGTGGTTTAAGATCTGTATTTTATACAATGCATAAAGCCTGTGAGGTCCCAGCTCCTATATTCTCTTCCCCACCTTGGAAACTCTTTCAATACTGAAATATGAACAACTCCACAGACAGACTGCTCTCATACTTGAATCTCTGCACACGCCATTTCCTGTGCTTAGAGTACTGGCCACCTCTCCTGCCTCACTCATACCTGTCCTTCAAGTCATAGTTTAGCTATCACTTCTTCTGAGTAGTCTGATTATCCAAGATTGGGTGAGCTGCCTCCTCAAGGTTATTTCTTATCATAGCACGTACTACATCATATAAAACTATCAGTTCACCTGTCAGCCTCTCCTAGTACACGGGGAGCAACTTCAGGCAGCTCCAGGTCTCCATCCCCTTCATAACCCTGCTCTTACCACAGTGCCAGGTACAGAAGACGTGTCAAGGAATATTTGTGAAACGGAGGAAAATAAAAAAGAACAATTGGAGAGAGAAAGGGAGGGAGAAAATGCAGAAAAGAAATAGAAGGAGAAAGAAGAGGAAGAGCAAGAAGAATTGAAAAGGGGAGAAAAGGAGAATGGGAGGGAGGAAGGAAGAGGAGAGAAAGAAGAAAAAAGGAAGGAAAGAAGGAATGAAGGCAGGAAAAAAAAAGAACAAAGGAAGTGGGGAGAGTTACGAAGTTACACAAAAACAATGAAGATTCACAATAAACTCCTAGTGAACATTTCTGGAATGGTTCTAGGGACCTTTGGTCCTTCGGTGATTGCCATCTCTCTGATTTCATGTGGGATTTCAGACATAGTCAGGGAGTCATGATGTTAAAGAATATAAAGACTAAAAAGAACCTTAGAGATGACTGAGCTCAACTCATAGTTGAGGAAACTGAGTCTAAGACAAGGGCTGTGACGTGCTCAACAGAGCGCAGTTTATATGGGTTAGGATGGAAACAAAGGCTTGAATAATCTCAAACTCAAGTGTTTTTTCACCATATCAGTCTTTCCAGAGGCACAAGTGAATCAGAAAGGGCAGGAGCAGGATGGTAGGTGGGGGCTCCAGCCCGATTTAGGGATGTGCACGCTTCGGTTCCATGTGCCATTCCTTTTTACTCAACAGTTTTACTTCATACAAAGAACTTCACTCGTCGAGGCAGCTATATTCTAGTAAAATAAGAGAATACAGGTAGTGCCCGATTTAGACATATTCCAGTTATGACAAACCGTGCTTACAACCATTTTGTGTACATCATATTGTTAGTGATATGTACCACATACAATGTTGCAGAGTGTGATTTGCTGATGTTATCATTCCCAGATGTTCACTCACAGATGTTCAAAGGTCGGATTTATAAAGATACTGATAATAAAAGGCAACAATAGTGAAAGCTAAAAATAAAAAAGGGTATTCGACTTACATCAGAACTGACTTCTGACGGAGCCGTAGGAACGGAACGCCGTCGGACTACCTGTGTATGAGTTATTTTTCCCTTTTGCATCCTGCTACTCAGCTTAATCCTCTAATAAGCCCTGAGCTTTTCCTCACTGGGCACTTTTGCCGTATTGTCTTTTCATCTGAAAGATCCCCACTGCCATTTCTGCTTTTATGCAGCTTTTGGAGAATCCTTTGCATCCTTTCTAGAGTGCCTTTTTCAAATGCCTTTTCCTCCAAGAGGCCTGCTCACATATCCCTGACAAGAAATAATTATTTTGTCCTCTCTGCTCCCATGGCGCTTTGTTTCTTTCTCAAAATATGAATTGAAATGTATTTTTTAATTATAGCTGTGTGTATATACTTTTTTCCTGACTAAATACACACACTTGGAAGGCAGGGCCCATTCTTGCTTTGTCTTTGCCTCTCCTAAGAAGGGAGATTAGCATCGTACCTTTTATACGTTGTATATTTCATATTTTGTTATGTTGAATGATCAGTAGAACCCATCTTCCAACCTCATGCTATATCATTCTAAAACATTAACAAAGCTAGAAATTCATCATACACTTCTTGTTTAATTTTTCCATTGGTAGACTTTTTTTTTTTAACAGACTTCTGTTGCGTCCATTTTTGTTCAACAGTTGTTTAAAGTGAGTGGTTAATATGAATCATAGGTGATATATAAATGGGGATGGGGCCGTAAAGGGGGAGAACGATGTAACTGAACCAGTGAATATTAGAACCCACAATAGGTTCTAATATAATTGTATGAATTTATATTCTGGCCAATTGCAGAAACAATTATTATGAGAGAATCCTATCCTTTTACATATATTAAAAATTATTAGAGATTATTGTTAGAGATTACTGGAGGATAAAGGAGACTTCTCACAGGGTTCTTCTTTTGATGTGGAGGCTTCTTAGGAAATATTTATTTCAATACATTTCAAGTATGAGAAATAAGGAAGAAGCTTAGAAATGCTAACTCTTGTCTAAGGTCAGCAAGAATTTACTTGAGATGAGTAACCTGGACTGCTCTTCTCATTCATTTGAACCAAAAGCGCTCTTCCATAGAGCAGACGGAAGATTGGTTGGATGGACTTAATAAAACTAAGCAGGCAGTTTAACTATCAGAGCATCCAATCTCTTCCTTGGCAAGTGTTGACCCTTTCTAAAACTCTATTTCATATCAAATGAACGGAGCAATTCATTCAGCTTAAGCAGAACAATTTCCAAGATGCTTTACAAAATATTTTACCGACGTCTTTATATTGGATTTTGCATATTTTTTAATGTTTTAAAAACACAATTTTAATTATTCTCCAGTCCCATATATTTGTGCTATTAATCACCATCTACTGGCAGTTCAGGAAATGGTAAGCTCATAGCAGCAGAAAGCTTTTATCTGCACTTCTCTCTGAGCTCTGTTCCTAGGACTTTTTTTAAATTGGTTGTTTATATGCTTGCCAGATAATACGTGTGACTAGATTCATTCATGGAAGACATCCTTTACAGTATTTCCATGTTATCAAGATTTTTAGAAATCTAATTTTGTAGCACTAAAGAGGTGTTTATAATTCAATTGGTTTTGAAATGCCATGTGGAAATCAGAAGAAAGTTGACAGCAAGGAAAAATAAGGAGAAAAATAGCGCACAGCAAAATAGAAAGACTGTTACTTCCCACTTCTAACTCTAACTTCAGAGTCTGGTACAGAAAATTAGGAGAAAAAAATATATATAAACTTAGCTCTTGAGTATCTTTCCTGAACGTCCTAGCTGTGATTTTATAGCATTTGTGTGGGTAAATTGTTACCTTCAGGATGTACATAAGAGAGCAAATTGCGTTGCTATATGCTCTTTTATTGAGTTATAATATATTGTTCTTTTTCTTACCTACAATTTCCTAAACCTTACTGTAGAATAGCAGCAGATTCTGAAGATTTGATTTTTACTCAGGTCTACTTCTCTCAGATTCCTATGGCCAGAAGAAATACTTTTGGACTTCAAAAGTACTTCTTTCTGAGCTTTTTGAGTAAGAAAGATAAAATCCTCAAATGTGAACCCATTCCTTGCCTAGTACTCAATTCCCAAGAGCAACTCCTTTTTAAGAGAGAATTTCTGAAATCCAGATATGCCCCTTATTCCATGGGGTACACTGGAAATAGATTTTTCTCCCTTGGAATCTTTTGTCCTACTATGGAAATTCCTTAAAATATAATTATTCTATTACATATTAATGGGTACATTTTATATGTCTTGAGTCCCATTACTCAATGTCTTAAACTCTGATCACTCCTTAAGAAAGTCCACACCCTGTTCTTAACGCTGTAACTAAGATTAGCAAATTCATCTTTGATAGAAGGGGTGTTACTGTTACAATTCAGTATATGCAGAGAGGGAGAACTCAACGGCAGGGAGTATGCAATTATCCTCCAATGAATTTCCATTTATTAAAAAAAAAAAAAGGGATTATTCAGTAACTTCATCTGTAAAATGGGGATAACACCAGTAACTACCCCATAGATTTACTGTGAGACTTAATTGGGTTAATAGTATAGAGACTCAGTAAGTAGGAAGGAATGAAGTAGGAAGTGTAGTGAATGGGTCCATGTTGGCTATTATTTCTATTATTGCTAGTCCTAGTAAATGTACCCAGTGGCAATGGAGCTTAGAGAAGATTTGGGTGGGCTGGGGTCAGAAAGAGAAGCGGTTGACTTCTTACCTCCAGAGAGTCATCAGCATTCACCATCCAACAGTCTGTCCACGTGGCCACAATCAAAAACCCAACAGAGAAGAAGGCAAAGACACAGGCGGCGTACTGGAGAAGAAGCCTCATCTTGGCAAGCATCCTCTCCGGGAGGGACACATGGGCAGACGCCAGCCCTGGGACCATTCAGGTGGCTGGAACCTGTCAGCGTCTTCAGTGTTTCTGGTACCTGGGGATGTGAGAATACCGGTCTTCTACTTTTCCTCACACCCCACTGCAGACGTCTTAAGTTGCAGTAAGAATAATAGGAACAGGCTATAATTAACAGAGGGGTCCTACAGGTCATTATCCAAAGCCACCGGCCTCCAATCAGAAGCCAGGTCGATGAAAGGACCGATTCTGTTTTGGGTGGAGGAGAAAAGGAGCGCTGGTCAAGGTTTCTGCCCAGACTCTGGGCTAACGCAAGATGATGGTCAGCAGAGGCGTGACCAAATGCAAAGATGAGGGAAGAAGGGTCACACCTCACGACCTCGCCGGTAAACTGCGCTTTCTCAGGCCCTCCAGGGAAAGTGAGCTATTCTCCTCCCCCTCAGTAAGCAAGCTACATGGTTGACTGAGTGCTACTTTATGATTAGGACCATTTTAATATTCGCTGACTGCCTTAGACAGACGGGCCACTGGTGAAACTATGCTAAAGGAGTGTTTGCTTGAAGGGAGTTTGCATTCCAAAGTGTTGGGCAGAGCAGCCCCAGGAAGGATTTCCAGCACCTGGGAAGCAGGTAGAGCCTAGCTCCTAACGTTTTGACATGTCAGAGTGGGAAAGAGTGTGCATTTTAATCCAGACAGCTCTGGGTGTAAACCCTTGCTTGGAAGCTTAGAGGCTAAGGGCAGTTGGGCTGCAATTTCTATAAAATGGGGGTATCATACCTCATCATGAGGTGTTCGTGAGGATTAAATGATATTGGAGCTATAAGTCATTTAGAAAAGTGTCTGACCATAATAGCTAAATGGTGAATATTAACATGACTAAGAATTCCTTACATTATTACTTTCCCCCATGGACTGATATTTCAAAATGTGTCTAGTGAAAAAAGAAAAGAAACACAACCTTTTTATATTAGATAAAAACACCAATTCCTGATAAAAACTCACAATAAAATAGGTATAGAACAGAAATTTCTCAACATAATACAGGGCATCTATGAAAAACCAATGGCCAACATCCTTCTTCATGGAGAGAGGCTGAAAACATTCCCCTTGAGAACAGGAACAAGACAAGGATCCCCTTTATCACCACTCCTATTTAACATTATGCTGGAAGTTCTACCTAGAGCAATAAGGCAAGAAAAAGAAATAAAGGGCATCCAAACCGGTAATGAAGAAGTTAAACTGTCCTTGTTTGCAGATGATATGATACTATACATAGAAAACCCTAAAGACTCCATGAGAAATCTACTGCAACTAATAGAAAGATTCAGCAGAGTAACAGTATATAAGATAAACATTCAAAAATCAGTTGGATTCCTATACACCAGTAAGGAGAACAATGAAAAGGCAATCAAGAAAACAGTACCATTTATAATAGCCCGTAAAAAGATAAAATACTTAGGAATAAATCTCACCAGGGATGTAAAAGACCTATGCAAAGAAAACTACAAAACACTACTGCATGAAAGCCAAAGGGATCTACATAAATGGAAAAACAGACCATGCTCATGGATAGGCAGACTCAACATTGTGAAAATG